AAGCGTTTCTGATAGGAGGCTGGACGGCGAAGGAGAGAGACGGGAAGCGAGGAGGAGGAGGAGGCGAAGGCGAGGACTTCAGCCGAAACTCCAAGGCGACTGCAGTTTGCCGGGGATCCTGCGCGCGGAGGGCTGCCTCGTCGTCCCGGAGGCGGTGGAGCGGGGCTTCCAGGATCGCTGGGCTTTCCCGAGGGCTAGTGGCGGTGGAGGGGGGTTTCTTTTTGGCTGGACCCTTCTTTCGCCCCTCGTCTTGTTTCCCCCTCCCTTCGGCGTGAAGATGGACGTGTGAAGGGTTCGTTGCAAACGCCAACCTTGCCCGGGAGACTTCGCGGAAGGGTAAGTCCCAAGCACGTCGGTTTTGCCGTGGTAGCGTGTGCGCCTCGAGGGGAGGGGGAGACGTCGGTACCCGTGTTTTTTCTCTCTCACATACACACTCTCCGATCTCGGCAACGGAGGAAGGAGTTACAAAGTTGAGGAACTTGTACTCGTGTGTGCGTGGGAGGGGGATAGAGAAATGGGGGGGGGAGGGAGGGAGGCACTTTGGCCAGTGCAGAAAGGCGGGCGGGCGATTGAGTTTGCGCCTGAAGAACACAGAGTTGGGGAGAAACGGGGCATCGCTGCCGCCCGCGCCCCGGCTGCCGTCCGTGGGGCCGCCTTCTGGTTTTCGTCGCTCGTAGCCAAACGGCGTGGGTTTGATGATGGTCCTGGGGCGAATGGGTTCCGGGAGCCTTGTTGTTTAAGCGGCTGGGCGAATGGGCCCCCTTACCTCATCGCCCTATTTGGTTGCCTTGCGCATCACCCCCCCCCGCCTTCGGTTCCCGGAACCCAAGGATGGTCTCTCAGTAGTTGCAACTCCGAAGATGCGATAAACCGAGAGATTCCTTGGTTCGTGATGGCTCCTTCTATTTACATCCCTCTCCTTCCCTCCTCTGCCCCTTGTGTGTTCGTGGGGTTGGAAGCACCGAGGTAGCTTGTTGGGGGGGGTAACAGAAGAGGGTGAGAGAGCTTGGAGAGAAGGGCCGGTTGGAAGCAGCGAGGATACATATTAATATTTCTTCTCGTCCTCCTTTCTCTCTCTCTTTCTCTCTCTTTTTTTGTTCAGATGGTAATTTGCCTTTGTGGTAGGGGTGGCCCCATTAACTTTCTGCTCACGTCCTGATGAAGATCAAAAGCGGAGGGGAGAGGGAGAGGGAAGCGGGGAGAAGCTTGCACGGCGCTCTGGTTTCATGCATTGTTGGAAATAAGAGGAAGGGGATTCGGGGAAGGGAGCGGGGAAGATGGGGGGCGGCGGCGGTGGGATCCTGCCTCCAAGAAATCAGTGGTAGATGCACGCAGCAACCTCCTCTGCCCTACTACCACACTGTTATCAAAACAAAAGTTGATGGATTTCGAATTTTAAACTATTCCACTTGCTGCCTTGTTGTGTGAGTTTATTCAGAATGTTGCTACTTAGAAGATGGGAGGAGGGGTGGGCGGGCTGGAGATTGTGGTGGTAAGAGACCATTTCAGAGACTGACAGCCCGGGGGGGGGGTTTCAGTGCTACAGAAAAATAAGCCGTAGTCGTCTGGAAACTTGCTTACTTTGAGGCTTGTGGGAGAGGTGGTGCTGGAATGGGAAGTTAGATGCCTACGCAAACAATAGGCACACGACTCCTGACTTTTAAAGTTCATTCCTGCTCTTTAAACCAATACTCATTTTTCCTTCATCTCCTTCATGAGGGATTCCAGCATTTGTTTTCTCCTTACTTTCTTCCAGGGTGAAATGAAAAGTCTGCTTCAGATCGTTATGCATATTGATTTATTTATGGATTTTAAAATCACAACCCCCCCCCAAGTTCTAGTTCAGATTGAAAAGGAAAAGCCCACACTTGATTTTCATGGTACAAAATTGATCGAACTGCAGTGGTGAGGGAGGGGGAAAGGGGGCAAAGCTGCTTGAGTGAGACTGAAGTTTGAACAAGAGCTGTTTTGCTTCTCTGTCTTTCTAAACATTAGAGTATAGACTGGGGGAGGTGAGTGGCGGGAGAAAAGGGGTGGAATTCCTCTGGTGAAAGAGGTGGGGAATGTTTGCAGTTGATGAGATGTAGCCATCAGCATTGTTCATGGAAGACTTCACTGCCTTTTGTGTGTCTGTTCTGTAAGGCAGCAACAGTAGAAAACACATCTAGTTGCAAAAAAAAAAATAGTGGGAATGAGGTGGGAGTTGGGTAACTCGGCTGATATTTAAGCGGATTACTCAGGGTTTTAAAATAGCTGCTTTTTAAAACAACATAGACTCCAACGGTGTGCTTCTTTCCCTTTCACTCAAAGTTGTGTGTCCTCCTTCAGATGGGTTTGGATGATTCATAAATTCTCCAGAGTAAAATTATGTAGCTGGAGTCTGGAAGGTGCTGTTTCACCTTGAAGTGTGTGAAGGTGCAGGAAAGCAGAGAGAAAGTTAAGAGCAGTTCAGGTGTGTTTGCTGTTCCTTGTCCTAACCTTTGGGTTGGAACTCCTTCAAGGCTTTTGAGTAAGAGTCCTGAAGACAGTGGAACTGGTTGGAACAGTTGTTACTTCTGCTTTTGCTTTATGCTTTAAAAGTTGCTGGACCATTAATATTTTGAAGAATATATATTTTGGTTTTGTCCTGTGTTCCATGACCTTACAGAGGTGATGTCAGAACACAAGGTGTATCCCTCATTTCAGAGCCATCCTGCTGTGTGTGGCACTCCAAGAGAAAAGACACTGCAGCTCATCATGATCCTGTAGCTTTGGATGTTTGCTATTAGTCATCTGTTTGTATGTAGTTATTGTACATGTGTATATGATGAACTCATAACCAGTTTACACATACAATACCCTGATAGATGTGTGGCAAATATGAGTTGCTTCAAACAAATAAAGAATAATACTGTCAATTTTTACTTATGATTTTTGTGAGGTAATTGGTTTTTTTGTGTTTTTTTTGTAATCTCTTTCACTTATTTGCCTTTTTGTTCTGTCTGTCACTAAAAGAAGTCTTCTTTTTTGGATATGTTTACAGTATTCTGGGACTTGCTTTAAATAAGAGCTGGGAGTGATGCTGCCATCCGGCAACACTCTGCGTATCCACATAGCAGGTACCGCTGCATCGCAGTGTGTACATAACTGTACGTTCTTGTAGGGACTTCTATTTCTGGACAGTATCCCTGGATTCTCTTTCGTGGATATTGTTCTCGATTTGGTTGGGGTCGGAGGAAGGGGAAGTTTTGCTTTTTGGATTGTAATGTAGTTAGCTTCTCATTTTAGGGAAACCTTCAGTTTGTGCATGTGGGAGTTTATTTTAGCTAATTGCTTGTTTTGGAAGACAGAGGCGTGGACAGAGGAACATAGCCTATCCTAGAGGATTCTAAGTTACCCACACAGTGGGGTGCTCAGACACCTGTTCTGCAGGGAGATGGGTTAAGTTTTATAGGTGCGAATAGGGAAGCTGTTACGGGAGGCTCTGCATCATAACTCTTAGGAGGCTAAGTACACAGCAGGGGGAGTTCTATGGGAGTAGAAACAGTAGAACTTGAAATGATAAACTCTTCCATGAAGGTGGGACATTGATAACTTGACTGGCTCTAGGTATTATACACTTTGCTCTTGGCCAACAATGTATTCTAAATTGGCTTTGATTGCTGTCCTGCATTGTAGTTACAGCAGCTTGTTTGTTTGGGCAATAGGGAACATTGTGTGGTTTCCATAGCATACCTTCTCTGGAGGATGTAATTGAACTTAACACATGCAGTCAGTCATTAGACACAAGCATTGGAGAGTTTGTTTAGATCTAGTGGATCGTGACCTTGTTCAGAGGTCTTAAGATTCATAATGCCATAGTATACATGCTTACTCAGAAGTAAGTGCTTTGTATCATAGGTGTTGAGCTTTCTGTTCTTACTCAGGTATAGTTTTCCAAACTTGGTAGTGAAACGAATTTGAGATCTGTGAAATGAGGTGAAAAGGGAAATGTTATTGTCAAGAAAGATTAGCAAATTATTTGTTTTTAAAAGAAGTGCATCTTTTTGCAATTAGCCCCTTCTTTAAACCTCATAATCATGATTTATAATATTTTTGACATATATGTCTGTCAGGAGTTCACAATGGTTTTGTATAAATAAGTTTCACTGAAAAGCTATACAAGATATGAAAAGTTTTAGTAAGTATTTCGGCTGTTGACTTTGCTTGGCAAAAGGGGGCAGCATCAAACAGCGTCTTGAAGGACTTTGTATGTCTGTACATGTGTTTCGTTTTACACGTTGACTGACATATGCTGTTCCAACCACTAGTATGTGATTTTGAGATAATCCACCTTGGGTAATTTTGTTCTTAAGAGTAGTTCTTCTCATCTGAGTGTGATGTCGACTTCGGTTGGTTTTACAAGAGAAATATTGCTTCAGCTTCCTTGTGCTAAATGATTTTGTGACACGTTTAGATTTATCACAGATGCATTTTGAATTATATTGCATTTTGAATTAAATATAATTACTGTATGATTTCAAGCCACATTCAGATTGGAAATGAGTCAGACCAGTTTGATTATTAAACTGGGAAAGGTTTAGCACAGTATTAACTTAATTCGCCTTGATTTGTAATGGCCTGAGCTATGAACTAGATAAGCCACAGTTAGACATGGGATACAGTACTGTATTGATATTTGTATATAAATATCCCATCTCTAGCCACAGTAGTTTTCTGTGGTCTGTGGCTGCAATCCTATACTTGCTTACCTAGGAAAAAAACCAGCTGGAATTACATCTGAGTATGCATGCATATATTACTTTGTCCAAAAACCCCTGGTTAAAGTATTCCTTAAATTAGTATGAAGGTTCACAAAATTAAACCCTCAATTTGGCTTGTTCCTAAAAATGTCTTTGACATAGTTTTCATAGCTGTTTTCTACATTTTGCAGAAATTGACATTTTGGGTCCCCCCCCCCTTAGCTACTTTTTAGAACTCACTGAATTTCACCCTTGCAGGATGTTATTGATTGATTGGGCACACAGATTCCTCCCATGAAGTGTATTAAAATATTTAACTTTACCTGTAAAGTTGAAATAAATTTTTTAAATTAATTCTTAGAATACTGTATAACTGATGTTCTTCTTAAATCTAGAATACAAAAAGCTTAGGCTCTGATTGTGTAAGAATGTATTTTTTTTGTGGGAAAGGGCAGAAAGTGTATCTGTCTGTTACTCTTGTATTTTAGTTACTGAATGTTCACAAACTCCTTTTATGTTTTTTGTCAGAGATTTAAAAACATTTAGGAATATATGTTCCTAAATGAACAGGATTTGTTTTAGACTGCACAGTATTAAAAAGGCCCTGGTAAAATA